CGGGAGAAGGAGCCCCGCCGCAAGCCAAAGACCGGCCGGTAAAGCGGTCCCAAGGCGGGAGGGCGCGCACAGCCTGCTGGGAGTCGTAGTGCGACGCCAGCGCATGTCCCGTTCCCCACACACACCCCCCAGGGCCTTCTGGGAGCTGTAGTTTCCTCCGCCGCGGGGGTGAGGCGGTAAGGATTGCCATGGAGACACAAGGGCCTGCGCTGCCTCGGCAGTGTGAGGGCCTGGAGGAGCTCGGCTTGCCCCGGCCCTGTTCTGCTGGGTGGTAGACGTGCAGGGGAGGAGAGGAACACAGCTCCGCCACTATCCAAACCTCTCAGATCACCACCAGGGAAAGGCCATGCCGAAGTCTTCCAAAAAACAGCTGGGGACGGAGCTCGATCTACCAGCCTTGTAGCACAGGGGTTTCCGCAGCAAGGAAGACTCCACACAGAGGCTGGGGCTGCTTCTCCACCCACCCGTCCTGATCCAGTTCCCTCCCAGGCGTCACATGGGTGCACCAAGCATAGGCCAGGGTTCATACCCTGGAAATATAGATGAGCCCGGTGTCAGGGTTGAACATAGCAGAACCTAGCAGCCAGCTAAACAACACACACTCGCTCACACCCCCTCTTCCTTAGTGGGGTGGGGGAGAGAATCAGAGGAGAAATGCAGAGAAACATCAACAGGCTGCAAGCCAAGGTGCTGCAGAAGCTGGGATTCCCATGAGAACATTATTAAGAGAACAAATAGCAGCTGGGATTTATACAAAGGCAATTTTTAAAAGACTAACCTAAGTTATTATTAAGTATAACAGGACCTTGGACCAGCCTAAAAGTAGGAGTTCAAAACTACACAAAGCACTGTGTGCCTGGGTTATCTCGACCAGAACACTGGTTGAATGGTATGTGTGGTGTGTGGCAGGATATCTCAGTCTTGGAATACCTGGCCGTAAAGTGTGGGAAATGATGGATGGGAAAGTGCTGTAGTGTGTGAACATCCTGATTGGCTGCATGGTCAGGTCCTTATCTCTAGCTATAAAAGTAGAGGTAGAAAATAAAAACCTCACTTGGCATTCATCTGCTGAGTCGGTTTCTTGTTTTCAGCTCACCGCAGAGAAAGGTTGGAACACTCGTGGGTTGAGATAGGAACAGTGTATGACTGTATTAAACCAAACTAAAAATAATAACAACAGTAATGAATTGTAATATAAGTAGGAACAATTATAATAAAGTTATTATCTTATAGCTTACAAAGCAGTTGCTGGCCATGCACCAGGGAAAACACAACTGTCAATGATGAAAGAAAGGGTAAGCCTTGGGAACCAAAAGACAGGCAAGACCTTCTAGGGGCAGCAACCATCAGGAAAAGAGGACCATTCCCAGCAAACTTCCCAATTTCTAGTGAGTTTGATGTTTCTGGTATTAAATAATTTTTGTTGGCCAGCTTGCAGTCAACTGCCCTGGGTTTCTGTCCCCCCCAGCTTCTGCACATGTTTAACTCAAAACTGCTAAAGATCTTGGTCATCACAGACCAGCGCTGGCTGAAAACTAAAGCAAAGTGTCTTCTCAACTTTGCTCCCATGAAGTAGAGTACTGCAGTCTTTGCAGAAATGCAGCTTTCCTGAATAGAAAACTGATTCTTTGATTCTATACCAGCAAAACCAGGACACCTGGTCAATAATCAGAGAAAATCAGCTCCCTCTTTGAAACATGGTGTTGACAGCTGCCTTCCTAATACTGCCACCAAGCCCAGAGTGACCCAGGTGGCACCTCTACCTAGCTGGCACCTCACTTGCTCCCAGCGTCAAGTCTCACTGTGATCATGCACATTGTGCCACTGGGGCCACAAGCAGTAGTCACGCTGACACAACATCCCTCTTTCCTACTACAGCCTTCCAGCACACCCCCTCTTCCTTGAGACTGCTCATTCCTCCCTCGG